TTTTTTTTTTGTTTCGGTTTAGTGTTATTTTATTTACAATCACACCAACAACTGCAGTGAAAAATGTTTTCAGTAATTTTAAAAATATTCCTTTAAGTATATTAAATAGTGAAGTTTTGATGTTATTAGTTATGATATAATTATTACCAAACTTTCCAAAAGAAATTGAAAAAAATTAATAGATATTTAGTATTCATGTTGAATTTTTTCTTTTTATATATTGAAGGAAAATTGTAGAGAACTTTAATATATTTATTTATATACACACACCATTGCAAGAAAGTAATGAATCAATCAATATAAGTTTTATAAATTTTTTTCAGATATAATTTAAGTACATCAAATAGGTACTAAATATAAAAATACATATACACATATGTTTTAAAATGTCACTTTTCTTAGTGATATTGGTTTCATAACAATTTGTAGTATTATTTCTACATAATATAAGATTATAAGTTAGTTATATCAAGTGAATGTCCTGAATATTAATATGAAGATTAGATTTTTTTGGTCCTTCATCATGTAACGCTATCACTTGAAAACGAACTCCACCCATATCGATATAATGTACATTTTCTATATATTCTATATATTAATATTCAGACTCTATAACGTATACTTGTTTCTTATTTTTAAAACCTATCATTCTCGTAGTATATAAATTATGAGGGCAGTAAGAAAGTAGGGACAGCGCAATGATCAAAATAGGACACTCAAATAAAATAATTCATTAAGTTCCTACTGGCAATATGTATATAACATATATATATGTCATTTACTAAAAGAAACTTTAAAAAATGTGATTGTGAGGCCCTTATCTTTCTATTGCTTGTTTATCTTATCCGATTTTGTCTCTACCTTACCTCTCTTGTTTTTCTATTGTTCCGTTCTTATAGTCCCAGTGTTTTTCTTATGTTTTTTTATTGTTTCCCTCTTGTTTTTATCTCTTCTCTCTTTTCTATCGGTCTTCTCTATCTCTTTTCTATATCTCTCTTCTCCATATCTTTTATTCATTTTTCTTCTCTTTCTCACTTTTCTATCTCTCTTTGCTATCTCTCTTTGGTATCTCTATTCTCTATTTTTCTTCTCTATCTCTTTCCTTTTTTCGTCTCCTTCTTATTTCCCTATTGTCTTCCTTTCATCTTTCTGTTTTGTTTCTCTCTTGCTTCTCTGTTGTTTTTATCTTATCTCTCTTTTCTATTGCTCTTATTTATTTCTCTTCTCTATCTCTCTATCCCATCTATCTTCTGTTTCTCTCTTTTCTATTTCTCTTTTCTATCGCTCTTCTTTATCTCTTTTCTCTATCTTGCTTCTTTATCTTTCTTCTTTTTCTTTTGTGTCGTTCTTATCTTCCTATTGTCTTCCTTTCATCTTCCTTTTTAGTGTCTTACTTGCCGCCGTCTTATCTCTCTTTTTCCTTCTCTAAATTCACTCTCTGCCATGTACTCTTTTTATCTCTGTTTTCAGTCTTCCTTTTGTATTCCTTTAATCTGTCTTTTATTTCGTTTTTCTTTTATTTCCCTCGTTCCTTCTTCTTTTATGTGTCTATGGTCTATCTTATCCTTATCTTATCTAACCCTTGTCTTTTTATTTTGAGTTTTGCTTGTGTTAACATTTTGCACTCGATTATAGAAAGGTTCGCCATTGCTATTTATTGTAATAGGCTATGTAGCCGATATCTCAGGATTTTCCCGTTAAAAAGGGAAAACAAAATGAACTTAGTTAATTGTTATGGCATTAGTTATGGGTGACGGTTGGTTCAATACAAATAATTGGTAAATTTTCACAAATAATAGTGAAGATTAATATAGTAGAAAAAAAACAACAGCAGTAATGTAGATAAATGTAGATAATGTAGATAAAAACCTGAAGCGCCTAATATTAGTATGAAGTTAATAATAAATTTGAACGTAAAATTGACTCATTACTTTCAATCATCAGTGTGTATATAAATATAAAAATAATTTTAATTTCACTTAATAATATTTCATTACAAAACCAAAAAGTAATATTTTTATAGTAGAAAAAGTCATTAGAGTTTCTTGAAAAATGTTAAGATTTAAGTTTTAGTAAAGAAAGTAAGTTGAAGTTTTATATATATATAGTGAGAGATATACAAGTATATATAATTATTTTATATACAAGAAAAATGATATAAACAATTTTTTATTTTTACAAAAAATGATATTTTCAGATATTTAAAAAATTTCCAAAACAAATTTGTTGCGCTTTTTTACAATTAATTTTTTTATCATTTTATCGT